CATCAGGGCGATGAGTATGAAGATTTCTGTCTTCTGGGTTGTTGCGCTGTGTAGTCTGGTCGATGTTAACCAACGTTTCAGAGGTCATACTGCCTCCGTCATCAGGGCGATGAATATGCCAATAGGGTGTGAGGTGCTAGGTTTATAGGCCGGAAAGTGAAAGGTGTAGCCTGCCCCGAGCCAATGGGAGTGGACCAATGGTAGCACGTGGGCGAGAGTGGGAGAGGGAGAGAAAGTAGAAAGAGAAAGGTTGAGTTTGGTTGGATGGATCAGGGCCGAGTTAGTGGTCTGGTTGGTTCTGGCGGCGCACTCTTGCTCGCTCTCGGAGTGTGTGAATAAGAGGCTTCCAGGACCGGCTCAGGTGAAGTCCATCTGAAAGTTGGTTAACATCGACCAGACTACACAGCGCAACAACCCAGAAGACAGAAATCTTCAAATCACTTATTGTTGTTAAATCAGTCATCAGATCTAGTTTCCAGAATAGTGATAATTGAGATGTATAAAAAAAATGTACTGCTTTTGTGACTGTGAGGTGTGGTCTGTAAATTTGGAAACAGAATGACCAAGAAAACATAGGGGCCCTGGAAGGGGGGGGGGCATTTAGAATATTATGTAATCCTTCTCCCAGAGTACTCAGTACAAAAACCCAGAGGACAGCCTTTTATGAATTTGCCACCATGAATTTATTGAAATTCCTTGTGTAACTTCACTTTGTGGGTAGTGTTTATAATGTTATTTAGTGCTAATATATAATCGTGCATACAAACAAAACTGTTTACACTTTAAAGGACATTAATGCCAAGCGTGTTTCAAACTCAAGAGGCAAAACAAATTAATTCATATAATACAATTCAAAAGACTGGTTTTCTACAGAGCATGAAAGGTGTGTACTTTACAAAACCATACTTATGTAACACCTCACTGGACGTTAAAGTTCACAGGCACAGACGGCTCACCATAGACCAACAACGGTAATCAGGCCATTTTACATAAAAGCTAAGTACTCAATTTAATACACTAACTCCTGTGCAATTAACGTCCAGTGAGGTGTTACATTAAGTATGGTTTTGTAAAGTATGCACCTTTATTACAAATTTGTCTTCCACAAACAAATGCATTTTTGGTGTATATGATTGTGGCGCAGCATATGTGATACTAGAATGAAGGCTATGTGTAATGTGATTCTTCCAGGCTGTTTTACTGCCGATTTCCTCGATAGAATTAATTTCTCTTACTCAAATAAGAATGTGTAATGTTCATTGGTTCACTGATAAATGATTGTAACTTTAATTATGTGACAAAACACATCATAGAATTTGCAGTCATGCTTGAAAACTATAAATTCACACTCATTTTCAAAGTTACAATTCTTTATGAGGAAGTTCTACATTTGCTTTATATGGTATACTCTTTTTAGCTGGGTTTTAGATTTAGCTGTCAAAAACCGATTATTAGTTTACAAAGTTTTAAGTATATCTGTGCAGAGAACAAAAGACTGTTGTTAGATATTGAATCTACACTTTACATATACACTGAGGCCCCGTGGCAAAATTCATGGATACACGTTATGAAACTGTAATGTAACGAGCTGCTTATGAAAGTGGCAACGCATCCCACTCTTCACCAAGACTGATCCATGTTCCACATTATTTTCAGCTCAGTGATAAGTGGACCTCATTATAAAGAAGCCATAGTATATTATTGGTTGATTATATTATTTGTTATTCTGTATCATCTACAGAAGTTATGTGGTGTCAAATGAAATGTGTTGATTGTATACGATAAAAGATTTAAGAGGAGGCAGCAGTGGCCGATATTGACGTTCTGCCTCAGGCGTGGAGTTGGGTGCATCACAAACACAAGCCAGTTCCACTGCCACAAATATAAGACTCATCGGTCTATCTATATATTGTAACAGATTTATGTTATAATAATACTTAGCCATTGTGTACCATGTGAAACCAGTGCAAATATTTTTATAAGAAATGTTTTATTTTTAATACTGTCAATATTTTCATAAACCTTGTCTGAAAATTTAAAATTCCTTTCTTTGTTGTTATAATTATTGAATGGATTCTTGTCAGTGTTGTGTTATTCTATCCTAATAAAAAGTAAAAGCTACGGAAGTTAAATGTGTCATTACTCAATCTTTTTTCAGTGAATTGTCAGAAAATTAATATAAGCTGAGTTGTTTCATGGATCAAGTAG